TGGCTGATTACGACGTTGCTCTGCGCAGGGGGCGTGTCTTCCGCTGAGTCTTCGTAGAGACGGAGAGGGTATCGGGCGCTTCGTTCAACGTGCCTTTTCGATGCTCGATCTCAACTCTGCGGACAATTCTAAGGCCCATCTAGCAAGTCTGACTCTGTGATCTTTTATTCCCTGGAGCCAGATTAAGCTAGCGTGGTCCGGTATTGCCGTGAACTCAGTAAGCTCAAGGTAGCAACGTAACTTTTTGATCGCTTCGATTAGTGCTACGCATTCTATTTCGGTGGTTCTTTTTTTAACTTGGCAACTCTCAAAGGTCTGCATACACACGTGATTAGATATTCTCGGTCACCATCCCGTTGAGTCAGAATAGCGCCGATTCCAGTATCGCTTACGTCGGTATAGAGAAAGAACGGAAGGTCAGGCCGAGGTACATTTAGTGTGAGAACATTTTTCAGCTCGTTCTTGACAGATAAAAATGCTCTCTCGTGTTCATAGGTCTAGTGCCAGGGAACCTTAGGACTCGCTAGCTTATTGAGCGGTCCTTGCACTCGCGCTATATTGCGCAAATGGTGATAGTACCAGTTGACTGATCCGTTGAACTTGCGCAGTACTTTTCGGTTTTTGGGTTTGAGGTTTCTCGAGGATGGGCTCAACGCGTTTGGGATTTGGTTTGAGATCGTCCTTATCGAAGTTATATACAAAATATTCGACCGATGATTTGGCGAAAAATGATTTTTTGCGATTGATTGACTTTCCCGCTTCCTTGAGGATGGTGAACACGATTTTTAAAATCTGTAAGTGTTCACCAAATGTTTTGGAAATAATTATCTAATCATCCAAGTACTCGTGCACTTTGTTGACGAGTCTTTCCGAGAGGTTGTGCTTGCGCACGTACTCAACAAACATTTGTTTCAGCCTGTCGGTAAAAGCTTGAAACGTGGCTGGCGCGTTTGTGAGGCCGAAGGGCATTCAGACCCATTCAAATTGTCCACGACCGGGGACCGTAAAAAAGGTATATTCGCGTGAATCAGGGTCAAGCGGTATATGGTGGAACGCAACCGTAAGGTCGATCGTGCTGATAATAACGGTGTCAGATAGTGCATCGAGTATATTGTCTATCCGGGGAGCGGATATGCAGATTTTTTGTGACTTTATTAAGTTGTCGATAATCAATGCAAACGCTTGGTTTGCCATCTTTTCGGTAGGTCAAAAGCGCGGGACTGGCAAATCGACCATTGCTCTGTACAATGAATTTTCTCTGTAGATACTTATCGATTTGCGCATTGATGATTTTATCAGCTTCTAAACTGCGGCGATAAAGTTTAATTGTAAACAGGGTATCTTCCGTTAGTTCGATGACGTGTATTGTCATATCGCTAACAATTCCCGTGTGATCGGCGAATTTGGATAATTCTTTGTCCAAAAAATTTTGAAGCGTTTCCTGTTAATTCTATGATTTGTGTTGTACTTAGGATGCTTCTAATATTATCAGGGGAAAGAAGAGGGTATCGTTTTTTTCATCCCTCTATGAACCAGTAACCTTGGGCGGCGTCGATGATGAGTTATAAAATCAATTCCTAAGATAACTGACGTTGTGAGTCCGTCGAGGACTGCAAAACACATTTCGCTGGTACAATCGGAAATTTCGATGTCGAACTTGTCGGAATAACGAGGTGCGGCGACATGGTCACGTTGTCTCAGTAGACGATTCTGGTCCCGCTTTTTCATTGGTCGGTGGCAAATTGTCGATCGCGTTTAGTTGCGTTTTGCCGCGCACGTTTTTTTCCGTTTGGAATCATATTTGCGCAATTTTGAAGACCAGTGTATGGCCGCGATTTTATTTCCATACTTATGAATTGGGGAAACTAGTCCGTCGTAAGTAATGAATATGTCACAATCAAATTGTGTTATTAATTCGGATTTGAGACCTGTATAAATTTTATCAAAATGGTAGGTTTCTGGCACTTTATGTTGGACTTTATTGTAAAGTGAGCTGACTCGTATGACAAAACTGAGTCCTGTTTTGTCCGAATGTTGGACTGCGCGTTGAAATTTATATGTCAACGTCTGGTCATCGTTCGATTCGCCAAAAGTAATGCTGAATTTAGCCTTAAACTCGCTCCACGTGTGCCAAGTATGACGGAAGGTAGTGTTCTACGTATATGCATTATTCCTAATACTTGTGACAGCTAGTGAAGCGCGTAATTGGGATTAATATCAGTTGACAGCATTCGGCTCTCAAATCCTGCGATAAAATCTTGCGCTTCTAATTTACTGGGATATTTGAGTTCCCAAGATTTTATAATCTTGTGTAAATTAGGCAGTGCGTGTCGCGGTGCCAGTTGTAGAGGGGCGATCGGAGGTGGTGGTAAGTGGTTGTTTGGAGAGGGAATGCTATAGTGCTGCGGGTTATTGGGATCTGACATGGGGGCGGGGCCTAAAGCAATATGGCGTAAATTGGGTAACACTTTTAGTGAATTTACATGGGAATAACATGGGATGCAATAGAACTAAATCGTTTAAAAAATATTGCTTAATTTAATAAATGTATAAGTGAATTTTTTTAATACAAAATTACTATTTACATTCCTATTTACAAACATGAATAAAAATATAAAAGAAATCTTATTTTTATACAAATTATTTTCTCAAATCCAGCGATACATGTGCAAGAAAAGTATTGTATTTTCCTTTATATTTCATGAAATTATATGAAAATTTATAAATGTATGTATTTCATTTTTCATTGTAAAAGTCTGTTAACAAGAACTGAAAAAAAATTTATTTATCCGTTTCTACAGTGATAAATTAACTTTCAAAATGTTCACATGCACGGGTAATATGAAAGATTATATAACCTCCAAATTTTAAAATCTTAAACTTACCTGGCAAAATGTAATCACTTCTTTTGAAATGCAGAGAACATACTCTCATAGAAGGCTTTATACTATTTATTTTTAAAGCATTTTTTCAGGCCTTTAATTGATCGACTTTTTCAAAATTATCGAACGTATTTTCACATCCACTACTCGTTGTTTTGGTTTCGGAAATTTATGGAAAATTACGCTTAAATTTTTCGCTACAGTACTGCCACAGCCTCTCACAGAACACTTAATTCTGCAGGAAGATTTCTCACGCGGTAAAAATGGAGCTTCATTCATAATGATAAAATAATTAACAATGACAGCGGAACTACAATTGCAAGTGACACAAACAGTTATCCAAAACTAGTTACATTTTTCAACACCAGATGGCATGTGTACGAATGTCAGATCCCAATTGTCGAACTGTAATGTGCGGTTCGGTTGGGGAACTCGCATCGAAGGTGTTGCGTGAGAGAGTGGGGGAGCGGAGCACGAAGGCTGCGGTCCTAATTGTGTCCTCAGGAAGGAACCTACTGACGACGTTGTAACCGTAGTAGTCGTGATGGTGAGGGATGTACATGTTAGTGGTGGCATGTGTTCCCCGCTGTCATAGAATTGCTATCTTGAATCTCTCCAAGGTGATTGTGCTTGATGCACTTGCAATGCGCTTACTTTTTGAGTAAGGGATGCAATTTTTGAAGTTAAGTCATTCGCGAGATCTTGAATTTCGCGTTTAGTTTCTCCTCTAGAAGCGTATATTGCCTCTTCTGTTTCTACGCGAATTGAAGTGAAAAGTTCAATTGTTCTATTTTGATATTCAAGAATATCAGCCTTGTTTTTCTCTTGTAGAGCTGTTATTAAATTCGTTGAATTTGTATTTTGTTGCTCGAATAAGACATAAGACTTAAGAACAACGGTCGGATGCCCGAGTCTCACTATAAGGCTTTCGGGCCTGGGCCACGAAACCCTAAAAATAGTAAAAACATTGAAAATTGGGTTTTTCTTAGATATCTAATTGAAAAATTAACGGATTCTCATTACAAGGTGTTATTTCTTTCCGATTTTTTTATCTTTAATACAATAAACAAGAAAAAATTATAGCTTTAATATTATTGAAAATTTGAACAGTTTTATAGTTGTTGAAAAAGCAAAAATGGTTTATCCAATATAGCGGATGAAAAATTAAAAATTCATTGAATTAGCTTGGAGCTTATTCTTAGGCGGTTATTGGGGTCGCTGTTTACGAATCTAGAGTCAGATTTCAAAAATTAAAAGTAGCATATTCAATGGAGAAAACAAATTTTAATTACGTCAATGAAAAAAAGCTTAATAATTGTAACTTTAAGTAATTATTTATGTGTTGAGAATACTTATAATGGATAGGATTTCAGATTTTTAAAATAAAAATGTACTTTTTTCAACAATTTATTAATTAGTAATAATTAATAATAATGGATTTATAATAATTTTTCCTTTTAATTTTATTGAAATTGACATTTAAAATTTTTGAAATTTAACTTCAGATTCGTATTCAGCGACCTCAAAAACCTTCGAGTAACAACTTTCAAGCAGATTCAGTGTGTTTTTAATTTTTTAATCCGCTATTTTGAATTTTTATAATTTTAATGTCAAATACGCATTCAGGTAAAAAGATTCACAATGCTCTCTGATATACCAAAATAAATCATTTTTTCTTTTTTAAACCATCTTAGCAAAAAATTTCACAATAATAGTCATTTTAAGGGTTTGTTTGAAATAAATTAAATTTATCGCAGTTGTGCGTTAGAGGAAAATCTTCTCCGAGTATTTTAAGAAGAAATATTAATATCCGTTAAGATTTGTATTGTCTGTAGATTTTTGTTCACAGAGGATAATTTTTTTCATTGTCCGAGGGTATATTGGGGAAAAATTATCCACGTGGTATATTAGCAGCCCCTATACTATTTTTAAATTAAAAACAAATATACAAATATAAATATAATATATACAGTATTCCGTACAAATTCTACTAAAATAGTTCTTTCATATACTATTAATTTCAGAACTTCTCATTACCAGCTGTAAAGTTTTTCTCCTCTACAACATCAAATATTTACCATTATCACTTATAATGATTATGATGTTTATGATTTCAGGTCAGGAAAGTAGGATCTTTAGCTACTACTATTCTTCTAATAAAATTACCAGGTACAATTGGTAAGAATTTGAACAGAATACTAATCATAAAATAAAATGTTCTATTATTTTATATTTTATTGTATTTATTATTGCATGTTGCCATAATCTAGATTCAATCCTGACGCCGAAACTGTCTTTTAAAAAAGAATTTCAAAAATTAGAAAAAGATACTTTTTTTACTGGAAGTTTAATGATGGCAAAAGCAAAATTGGAAAATGCCAATGGTGATATTAGCTACAGCATTGATAACGAATCTAGTAAGAAAAAAACTTTCTAATTTTTAATGTAGTAATCATTGTTAAATGATAATACAAACATAACAATTTTGTTACTGCATTATTGCATATTATTGTACAAGGAAATGTATAAAAATAATTTCATGCTAAGGTTCCTACACAGGAACACTTGCATGATCCTGTAAAGGAAAATATTTTACTTCCTTTTCGTGCTAAGGAACATTTATAGAAACCATAAGAGAATCCTACGCAGGATCTAAGGTGGATTTTTTAAATACAATAAATTTTTTTTTAATTTTGTCATGAATAGGTATATATTGATACATGGAGAGAAAAACCATGCGTTTTTAGTATGAAAGTGGTTCATACGCTTTAGGTCATGAATTCATGCAAGACCGATCTTGCTGTAGTAGCGCTTCTGAAAATGTCAGAAAAACATGCACGATAAATGCCAGTTTCACTGCATTCTACTCAACCACCAAAATAGCTGAGCATGCGCATTAGCCATGTGCTGTCTCTTTCTCTCGCAAAAAGTGTGCGAGTGAGATCTGGCTGACGTATATTTCTCAAGTCTTCCATCCGTGTTGTCATGAAGGAGTTATGTGTTATTATTTTAATAATTATTATTAATGTTTATTTTAAAATGTCGTGCTGTGTGCCAGGATGTAAGAAAAATCTTTTTCATGACATACATAATAAATAATATGTTTGTAATTACTATGGCTCCATTATTCTTTTAATAATTACTTCAATTTATTGACACTTTAAATATTCCAATGGCATACATTATTATATACTTACACATGATTTTAGAGGTACAATATCGCAATGGTAAATAAAATTTCTGAAATAAACACTCAAAACTAAGAATTTTTTTGTGACATATATGTATATCGCATAACCACACTTTTCATCTGTCAAAATTGAGGTCCAATGCGCATGCTCAACTATTTTGGCCAGTTGAGTACAATGCACTAAATCTGGCACTTATCGTACATGTTTTTCTGACATTTTCAAACGCAGAGATCGGTCTCCTTACTATTCCTCCGTGGTTTTTAGTATGAGAGTATCGCATATTTCAAAGGAATGTCGAACATAGTCTAGTTGTATGAGTTCCATACTCTTTCGGTGTGATAGTCATACAAATAACGATTAAACCACGCCTTCTTTTAGCTTGCCTGAAGACTTAAACGACGTTCTCGAAGTTGTGATCAGGTAAGGTTTTTCTTGCTCTCCGCAAAATTTATAATAATAATAATCTATTATTATATTTATAATATAAGTATATAATATAATATATATATATATGATGTATTCCACGCCAAATTCGAAGTCCATCTGCAATTGCATCTCCGATTTTTTTTCTTTTAGTATTACTCGAGATTAATTGACACTAGCTTTTATGAATTTTTTCAAATTTTTTTAGCTATCCGTTTTCAAAATTTCAGAATTTTAATTACTTTTAATTATTAAATGCTCAAAATTTCTTTAAAAGGCATCAATTTTAAAAGTTTTTTATTCAAAATGTGTGTTTCAAACGTACTTTTCAAAAAACAAAATTGAAAACTTTTTTCAAAATTTTAAGTTTTAAAGATAAAAAGTCATTTTAATTTATACGTGCATGCAAAAACCTCGTTTGGCAACCACTTTCAGCTATCCAAAATAGTCGAATCCCTCACTGTACACGCGGACGATGAGCAAAGTAATTTGCTCACCGTTAAGCGGTGGCCAAAACATTTTGCTCATCGTCCGCGCGCACAATGAGGGAGTCGGCCATTTTGAATAGCTGCAAGTAGCTGTCAAACGAGGTTATGCCTGCACTTATAAAGAAAAATATGGTTCGATACTCGTTGCCTCACGAGCGTATGCCCATTACTCGTGTAACGACGTGCCTCGAACTCAAAGCTCGGCTTTGCCTCGAATTGAGTTCTTGCCACGCCGTTACACTTGTAATGGGCAAAACGCTCGTTTGGCCCCTTGTATCGAAATATACTATTTCTTAATTGACGTGCTGATCGATTTTTTTCAAAAAAATAATATCTTAATTTCGTTTATTAGGTTTGTAAATTTAAATAAATAATATATATGGGAAATTCCACGTAAGATTTATAGTCGAGGTTTAAAATTCGGGTAAATATTTTTTTTTATTCTTTGTAGAAAAACACGAAATACGTATTTTTTTATTTTTGAAAGATCGGCCAAATTTTTTAGTTATGAATTTTTGGCTTTGAAAAGTAGACTTTTTTTTAATGGCGTATATCTCTGAAAATATTAAATTTGGTAAAATCTTACCAAAAATTATAAGTTTTTTTTTCCTTAACTTTTAAGAAATTTAAGAAAAAAATTTTTTTTTTAATTTTTAATGAAAAAAAATTAATTTTTTATAAACAAATTAATTTTTTTGCTTCCTCGTGGAGGAAGCTATGTAGTCCTTTCGTTTATAAACTTTTTAAAAATGGTGAAAACAAATTTTCCTCTATATAGAAACATGTTATATGAGATCCTGATCAATTGTCCGGATGTATGTATGTGTGTGTGTATGTGTGTGTGTGTGTGTGTGTGTGTATGTGTGTGTGGATAGTTTTTGTGAACACGATATCTTTAACAGGTTTTAATGGATTTGGGTAAAATTTGGTAGGCTTATTTAACACATTAATCTCTCAAAAATGACGAGAGGATTTTTAAAAATACCCCAAAAAAAAAATTTTATCGTCTTTTTTCCAAAAATTTTTTTTTAATTGAAAAAATTTTTAAATCGAAAAATTTAAGGTAATATATAATATAATCGTCTTCTTTATGTCAAGATGAATCGATTGATATATATAAAGTATAAATTTGATTGAAATTTAAAGAATTAATGAAAGTTAAAAAATCAAAAATTCTCATTTTAGCTAAAAAATGATGTGTTTATTTAAATTCATGTTTATATATGAAATAATTTTATTCCCTGCATTGAAACGAATTGGTTGGTATATATAAAGTATAGATTTGATTTAAAAAATTTGAGAATTAATAAAAATTGAAAAATCGAAAATTCATATTTTAGCTAAAAAATTTTGTGTTTTTTTAAAATTCAAGTTGATGAATAAAATAATTGTATCCCTCACAACACAAGGATATTCAGGATATCCCTGGGACGTCCTGGGGTTATCCATTTGCTTTTGGCGATTCGGATATCCCTAAGATATCCTCTGGATATCCATGGACATCTCTAAGATATCCCAGGGATATCCAAACCGCCGAAAAAAAATCGATATCCCCAGGACGTCCCAAGGATATCCTGAATATCCTTTTGTTGTGAGGGATTCCTTGCATTAAAACGAATCGATTCGTATATATAAAGTTTATGTTACACTCAAAATTAATTAAAATTTTCTTTATTTTTCAAAAAATTTAATTAATTTAAAACATTTTTAACTCGAAATTTTTTAAATCAATCAATTGAATTGGACAAATTCATTGCTTCCTTCACGAGGAAGCGAATTTTTTGCTTCACAAAATGAGGAAGCATAATGTTTATGAAATAAACATAAAGGACCCCCTCCTTGTTTAAATTTGGGCTCGATTAAATTTTGTTTTTTTATGATTTATTCATGCCTGAAAATATACAGAAGATTTTGCAAAAAGAGCCAGAATGGGCCTGATAAGTTAAATAAGTTTAAATGAATTTTTAAAAAATGCGTGCAAGTTTTACGCGCGCTACGCTACCCAGTGGGTCGTGGACAAATTAACATAGAGCCTACAAATTTAAACCGATTTTGACGTTCTTGGTCTTATTTTAAAGATGATATAATTCTGCATAACGCCTTTGATTTTGTTTTTGAAAAAAAAATTTTCAATTGTTTAACCAATTTTTATAAACAATTTTAATAATTTTAATTCCTCATTACGTAATTAATGACATATTGAGAGAAATGTGCAATATTATTTTATTGTTATTTTTACCCAGTCTCTTTACTTCTCTTTTCTTTATTTTTTCATTATTTCATTTATATTTGTATTTAATGTAAATACTAGCAATATTGAAACTAATGTTAGTTAACAAATTTACAAAATTGTTGCTGTCAGACATTGTAAATTATTTTAACAATACTTTGAGGTTAAAAAACTCACCTTTAAGGCTAACCTTCTTTTTCACTTCGTACGCTACAGGGATGTTGCCCCGTATATAAAAATATTTTACAATAGCTGATAGTAACAATTTTGTAAATTTGTTAACTAACATTAGTTTCAATATTGCTAGTATTTACATTCAATAAAATTATGAGATAAATAATTAAAAAATAAAAGAAAAGAGATTTAAAGAGACTAGGTAAACAACTTGTAAATTCAGATGTTCATTACATGAACATTTTGCTTCCTCTTTACGATCAGCAAAAAAAATTGCTTCCTCGTGGAGAAAGCAAAATTTTATTGCCAAAATGTGAATTTTTGATTTTTTAACTTTCATTAATTCTTTAAGTTTTACCTCAAATGTATACTTTATGTATATCGATCGATTCCTCTTGACGTAAGGAATACGATTTTATTATATATAACCTAAAAATTTTCTATTTAAAAATTTTTTCGATTTAAAAAAAATTTTTGGAAAAAAGACGATAAAATTTTTTTTTGGGGTATTTTTCAAAATCCTTTAGTCAGATTTGAGATATTAATATGATAAATGAGCCTACCAAATTTTATCTAAATCCATTAAAACCTGTTAAAGTTATCTTCTAAACAAAAAAGGGATCCACACACACATACATACATCCGGACAATTGATCAGGATCTCATATAACATGTTTCTATAAAGAAAAAAAATTTGTTTCCGCTACTTTGAAAAATTTTATAAACGAAAGAACTACAAAGCTTCCTCCACGAGGAAGCAAAAAATAATAATGCAGACCAAAGAAACTACCAGGAAATACTACAATTACAAATTCTTATTGTCGAAGTGAATACTGTAGAGAAAAACCAAAAAATGATCCAATCGGAGAATAATAAATTACTAACTCTATGCTGCTCTATTCATGAAGCTA